AAAATCAATAAACAAATGGAGGGAAAAGTGCGAAATCATGCGATCTTCGAGCAAAAAAAGGTAATTAATTTCTAAATATAATCGTTAATGAAATATTTTCGTACAAGTCGTTATTACGCAAAGAAAGACAAGAAAATCTTTAAAAATAATATTTAAATTAGTAAACCTAACTATAAATTAGTGTAGCATATTACGTATAAAAATATCAATACTAAAATGCAAATTTAAAAGCTACATAAGCAGCTATATGCTTACAAAAGTTTCTTAAATTTAAAAATGTTTTATTTGTAATTCGTTTTCTGCAATTGAATGTTTACTTTTTACATTTATAAATATTGTGTCTTAACGCTTAAGTCATAACAACAAATTATTTTTGTATGCAAATATATGTTTATGTTTTTATTGCATTCCGTTGTCTATATGGTATCCTTATAAATTAGTTCATTTGTTGATTTTTGCTTGTAAATTAAATACAATTCTTTTTAAATATTTTTTAGTATAGTTTTAAGATATTTTATAGAAATTTTAGTAATAGTTAGTGGTTTTATAGTCGCTTTCTCAACTAGGTCTTAAAATCTATCTTCCCTTTAAACACAAATTTTTACTGAAAAATTGCACTTAGTATTAGATTTATTTTTTTGTATAGTCGCATTTTAGTTTGCTTTTTTATTGCATGTCTTCAGTACTTTTTTTATTTGTTTTATTTAGTTTTCTTTTGTCATTTTAAATTTTCTGGATACTAGGCTAATTTGATCATTTTAATTTTTTTATTCATTCATTTATTTTTATTTTCTTTCAGTACTAATCACAGTTTAGTTATCAAGCATTAAAAGCGGCTAAATATTGTTTATTCCGAACACTTCTCTCCGCAACATTTGAATTTTATAAAAAAAAATAAGGAATTCACAAAGAAATGCACAAGTAAAAATTTGGTTCTACAATTAAAACAAAAAACAATTTTTTTCAATTTTTCTCTTTTTTAAAAGTAATGCAAGTTTAAGGGATTTTTTTTATTCAATGTTTGTATATTTTGAATCTAAAATAAACGTCAATATATATATATTTTTTTTAATTTTTGTTAAGGAAATATTCGTGGTAATTTTTCCCTATTTGAGGGAAATCCGCATTCGACAACAATTCATATAAAATGCGATTCAAGGTCAGATAAATTTTAAAACCAACATGATAAATGGCGGTTACGACAATGAAAGCTTAATGGAATGCTTTTAAAGTTTTGAGCTTTGAGAATTCCTTATTAAAATTTAAAAAATTTTTTTTTTCACAATTTTTATTACATTAACATTTTTTTAAGGTTTGAAAATTTAATCGATTTTTTAATTTATACCGTTTTAATTTCTACACCTTTTTCAATTTTTTTAAAAGCCTTGCAAAATCAATAGATTTATTTTCTTTTCAAGTTTTAAGCATTTGTAATAGTTAAAATTAGTATATGTTTTAATTCGTTTTTTTTTAGCAGAAATTTATGTATTTATTTTTCTATATTTGAGGGAAATTTTTCGTTGAAAAATATTTGCTGGTAGTGTGGAGTAGGCGGCATTATTACAAAAGAATTTATTCGATTTCAACTAAATTTTTTTAGTGAACTGACTTTTGAAAATGTTTTTAAAAATGTTTTCAAAGTTTGACCAATTTTGAATTTTTACTTTATATGCATTTTTGGTGAATGCAAAATATTTCCAAATGAGAAAATGCTGAAAATTTCGAAAATTCCGAAATGTTTTAAATTTTCTGTATTGAAAATATTGTAAAAAAAAATGCTTGCCTTCTTTTGGCCAGCTGCTTTTGAGCATTTTTATTAAATAATAACTGAGCTTTTGACTTAATTTAACATTACGTTTCAAAACTTTAGTTTTCGAAAAATATTTTTTTCCTATTGCATTTGAGAAAATTTATTAACTTAATTTTTTTTTTATAATATTGAGCTCCACGTTCGACTTGAAAATTTCAATAATTTTCGCGTATTTATTTTTCGAAAAATAGTTATTTTGCAATTCGAAAAATCTCCACAGTTATATAAGTCTGATTTTTTTTTAAACATGCCCTTTTTGTCTGTGATTTTCACAAGCTTTTATAGTGCAACTCATTTTATATTATATTCGTTTCTTACAGTCATTTATAACTAAATGCTTTTTAACATTGAAATAACCAACCATTTATGCACAAGAGGTAGAAATGACTTATTCCCACTTCAAAATAAACGGCTTCAAAAGTCAAAGTAAAGTGGAAAAGTCACCGACTATGTTCAGTAAAGCTAACAAAATAAAATTTTATTTCTGGCAAAATCGTAGGAAAAATTAATTTTTTGAAATTCGAAAATGAAGCATCGAAAATCGAACATTGAGTTTCGAATATCCGAATAAAAAAATTTGTGATTTATGCTAGCAGTTAACGGGTTTTTTTTATAATTTTTTGAGTTTCGAAAATTCGAACATTGAAGTACGAAAATTCGAAGGGTTTTTAGAATTCGAATATAAATTTTTTTGGTTTATGCGAATAGTGCAAATGAGTTTTTGTACAATTTTTTGAATTCGGAAAATCCGAAAACTTAAGTGGGAATTTCGAAAGCTCGAGCAACAAATGTTGTGTTATTTATTTATTTACAATTCTTTTGTTGGGCAATATTATTTTTCCACCTTTACAACGTTTTTCTATCCAAAATAAATTTTATGAACAATTTTTAAATTTATATGAAAAATTTCAAAAAATAATATATACAATTTGTGTGGCTTAAGCATTTTAAATTAGAAATCGTTTAAACATTTATTTATCTGTAGTCATGATTTTTAAGTTTTTATTTAAAATAATCCATTAGAAATAAATGGCATCTAAAATTTTCTGAAAGTAACAAATTTAAAAACAAACATTTTTCTAAGAACTATACTACACTACAATATTAAATACGTTTATTTCTTAGTTCTCGAATGTTAGTCATTAAAACAAACCATTCGGAAATTCTAAAGATGAATAAATTAAAGACACAAACACCATTTAAATTGTTAAAAATTATAAAAATCGTATATTTGATGTTAAAAAAGTATAAGATTTTTAGCAAGAATCGTTGATAAGTGACAAATAAACCTTTTAAGTTTTTTTTATTTATTTTCATAAACTTATATTTTTAAAAGAACCACATTGTGTGAAAATGGCAAACAAAGTACTTTATTTATAGTAAACATTTTTTCATAAATTTGTTAAAAATATTTAAATTAGTCATGTTGAACGAACAACTGAAAATTGAAAATTGTTTTAAATTATTTTTTAAACTACATATTTTTGATATGAAATCTGGAATGTTTTTCTCGTTGGCTATTCGATAGTTAAAAAAATAGAAAATTAATTATAATATTTTTTTCTTTAGTTTAGTTATTCGAAAATTTGTGTGTTTTATTTTTATTTTGCTAAAATATGTTCTGACACTCAATGCTTCTTTTGGAAAATTTAAATTTTTTTGTTTTGCAAAATTTTTTTATTATAAAATTTGGAATGTAAAAAATATTTCGTACGGCATAAAAATTATATTACTAAAATAATATTAGTGTGTATTAAAATAAGTAATGTTAACATATTGTAAAATATTTGCCTACAACTAAGTTAAATACTGTTAATATCTTTATTATAATTTATTTTGTTTAACAAACTTAATTGTCCTTAAACTAGGTTAATGATATGTAAATAAGTAGTAAAATAGTTGTAAATAAGTAGTATTGGCAAAAAAATATTTCGAAGTAATGTAAAGTTATGTTAAAGAAGTTCTTACAGAAATGACTCCTGAGACTTACGGGGAGTAAAGTTGCTAAAATAGAAATATGTTAGTAAGTTCAACATGGTTTAAGCATTGATAAAATATTACAGGGTTGTAAAACTAGAATCAAATCGCGTGGAGTTTAGTAACTCAATACAATGATAAAATTTATCTTCATTCATTTTGCAGGAGAAATGAATGTAAATCAATACAATGATACAATTTAATTTAATTTATGAATAATTTAACTCAATTATTGCAAGGGAAATGAAGTTCTTCAATTTAGAACTTTCGAACATTTGACTTCGAAAATTCGAACATCAAATTTTTTCGTTTGATGATGTCAGTGAGCAATTTTTATATAATTTTTTGAATTTCGAAAATTCGACAATAGAAGTTCGAAGATCAAATTTGGTGCTTTTTACTGGTAGTGGACTATGTTTTTAAGTTTCCAGATTTTTTAATTTTTTTGAGCAATTTCGAAAAGTTTTATTTCAAAAACTTTATACATATATCTATATTTTTAAATATGCATACATAATAATTGTAAGCACTTATTAATCAGATTATTCATAATTATAAGTTGTAATAGATTTTTTAATAGACTTCAGTATGTGCGCTTCCAAATTGTATTTAGAATTATTTTTGCGCTAAATTTCTTTTTTTTTGTTTTTTCTTGAATGGCACTAATAGTGTAGGTGGTTTGGCGGTACATTAAGGAAAATTAAATGTTTACCATGTCGGCAATGTTTTGTTATATATTTTGTTCTGACTGAAAAGCGCATAGCAAAGTCGCTGGCAAATGAAAATAGTGAACGAACATTTAGTGGCAGCGATTTTAGTACAATGTTTTATATAGTAGTCCAATATTAAGTATTATTTTGTGAGGTAGTAAATATGTGTATTTTAAACGGTAATTTTTGTTTTCCAAGCGTTTTCAGAGCAATTTTGAAGCGTGAAGTTGAGAAATAATTGCGCCTAGTGCCTGCTTGGTTTAGTACTTGCTGCCATGCCCACTTTCTGTCGTTATAACGCTTGATTTTTTAGTAATATCGGTTAAGTAAAAAGCAGTTTTAATAATATTACATAATACATATTTTTAGGCACTTTATTCCCGCTAACAATTAATTGTTAAATATTTTCAATTTTTTTTAGATATACATATGTATGTATATATCTTACTTTGTGCTTAATTATGTTAATAAAATAATTTTCANCTTTTTTTTAGTTATACATATGTATATATCTTACTTTGTGCTTAATTATGTTAATAAAATAATTTTCAATGCTTACATAGGCCTACTATGTAGTTATGTGTTAGTATTGCTGTCGTATCGAAATATCGAACATCGCCTCTGCACACTTCCTTAACCAGATAATTTTTATTTTAGCTGCGATAACTACATATATATTCATAAATCTCTTGTCTTTTTATGCTTCGCTTTAAACCTAATTCACGCAACGCTCTACAAATCTAAAGAATTCAATTTGCGCTCGCGTATTATTCGTTTCTACAGTTTCATTTTCGGTGAGCAATAATTTCGAAAAATATATATTTTTCTACACTTTTCGCCTTCCATCAGTTTTCTTCTTTCTGTCTTTTTTTGCACGCACTTCGTTTTTTGCCTTCGTTTTAAATCTAACTCGCTTTATAGCTTACTAATTGCTTTCGCTTGACACTTGTGTCGTGGTTAGTCTCTATTTGTTTTTATTAAAAACTTTCATTTTAATACCGCGTGGATAATTGCTTACGCTTACGTCGTTCGAGTTGTAGCGCTTGGTCAGCGCTGTTGTTTGCTGTGCTGCTCACCGCTGTAGCTTTGGTATCACTGACTTTCTTAGACTTTTGGTCGGTGAGTTTTGCATTAAGGCGATGTACTTTTTCTGGACTGAGTATGGCGAGCCTAGTTGTACTTTTGGCGCTTGACAGTGCCGGGGCAGGTGTGGCTGTTGCATAATTACTGTTATTGGCATGACTTTGACGCAGGCGTTGCTGTTGTGTTGTTTGTGCTGTAAAAATTTGGGATACAGAATTTTAATAAGCATTGAAATCTTCTGAATTTAAGATATCGATGATCTTGTGCAATAACGACACAATTCAAAACTCAAAAAACAAAAACGGCTACTACTGTTAAATGGCTCATGTCTCTAATCCCTGTCGAATCCGTGTCTAATCATTCGTACTTACTTTAGCAATCCCTACGGTTTTTTTTTTTTTTAATTTTTAATTGTGTCGTTATTGCAGACGTCTATCGATATAACGATACTCTTTCAAGAACGCCATATTTTAAAATTTTATTGAAAATCTCCCTATGTCAGAAATTTATTGAAAATGTGCTGATAGGGCGTTTTTGAAAAGGTTTTTGAGATAGGGCGTTTTCGAAATGGCTGCCAAAAAAGGTCGATCTTCCATTCACCAGTCGATATGTAAATAGCGATTTTCTTCCAATGACTCCAAAAACTTAATTTTTTTAGTAAAAAACTTTCGAAAAAAAATTATGAACACAAATGCTTGTTAAGCACAAATAATGTGGAAATTATCTCGAAAAAATAAATACGAATTCTTTTTTCATTAATTCCAAAAACTAATTTTTTCTGCAAGTAAATGTTTCGTTAAAAAAAAACTTAGATACATGAATGCTCGAAAACGCACTAAAAAAATATAAAAAAAGAAATTTTCTTAGCAATAATTGCAGAAACAAAAATTTTTCTGGAACAAAAGTATTTCGAACAAAAATAATTTGTGCAAATAGAATGAATGCTTTTTAAAAGCGTAAAAGGTCAAAAACATATAATTGAGTTGTTTAAGAACAAATCTAATAAAACCCAAAAATTTCTGAAAGAAGCTTTTCAAGTTGCCTTCAAAAACATGAATATGAATAAATAGAAATTTTCTTTACACAAGCTACAAAAAAAAATTTCAGGAAAAGGTATGCATACATAATGCTTTTAAACACGAAAAAGTGGGACATACTTTCAAACGCATAAATACGAATTTTCTTTACAATAACTCAAAAAATAAAAATTTTTGTGGACAAAAAGTTGTTAAAGTAAAAAATTTTTTGAGAACAAATTGCTTTTTAATCACTCAGAGGTTCCGAAATACTTCCGTAAACATGAATAAGAATTAAAAATTATAAAAATAAAAATTTTTTGGAACCAAATTTTTTCGAATATGTAAAACATTTTTGTGAACATAAGTGCTTGTTAAAGAAATTGTTTTTTACAACGAAAACGACGGAAATGCGGTCAAATGTATACATAAATACAAATTTTCTTATAACTACAAAAATAAATATTTTTGTGGAACAAAAGGTTTTCGAAAAAAAAACTATTTTGGCAATTATGAGTTAGAAAGCTTATTTTGCTTGAGAAGTGTCAGAACTGCCTACAAAGAAGTCAGACGCAGCGCATGAAACAAAAAAAAATATTTATCTAATCTTCAGCATTCCCTCACCTGTGTTGTGCACTTCATGCTTGCTCACCAGTCGACGCGCATCGCTGGCCTTAGTCGGCGAAAGTGTTCGCCTTTGTGTCACCTGCGTCGTTGTCGTCATTTCCCGCGCCACCGCCGTTGCCGTTGATGACTTCGCTGAACTGCGCAAGCCAAAAATGCGCGCTGCAGGACTTTTGCTCGCCCCCACCGTCGTCGTTGTCGATTTTCCTGGCGCCTGTGACAGCCAACGCTGTTCATTTGTACTATCTTTGCCGCTATTGAGGCGGCGATTCTTTTTCGGTGTCGTCTCCAACCCTGCCGGTGGCGCTGTAGCTGACCCGAGCAATGGCGCGTCCCGCCGCGTCGGCGAATTCCCTTCCTCCTCCGCCTCTGCTGCCGCCTCATTTAGATAACTGCGGAATGTGCTTATAGGACGCTTCGGCGATTTTGCACGCTTACCGCTACCGCTCGTGCTGCTCTTCTCCTTGCGCGCCACCACTTGTGTGGACGCGCTAATGGGCGGCAGGCTGCTGTGTAGATTCTCCAGCGATTCAGAATGCGGTGTGTATAACTCAACTGGTTTGGGCGGTTGCTTGCGGCCGAAAATCGGAGTTTGATTTATGCGATAGGTGTTGCTGCTGCCGCTGGTAATAGCGCTGACACTCTGTCCCGGCAGGCGCACATGCTCGCTAAGTGGCGTGCCACCAGCGCTTGGCGCGCCCGCATTACTAGCCGCTTCAAGACGCTGGAACATTTTTAAGGCCTCAGGTGGCGTTTTGTATACACTTTCATTCGCACTTGTGGGCTCTGTGGGACTGGTAACAACCGAACGTGAGGCGCGCGGTTTGAAGAAGGTTTTCATTGCATTTTGCGAATTGCTGAAATTGCGTCGATTCGCCGCATCGATGGTTTCGAACTTATTGCGGCACAAATTCAGTTTGGTGCGTATATCATCGAGCGCAGTTCTGTAGGACTTCGCGGCGATCTTTTTCTGTATCTGCTGCATGGTGCTCAGCGTTGCGGCGTCGACTTCTTCACTGGATGTGGCGGCGCCAACGGTCGCGGGCGCGGATACCTCCACAGTGATTATTTGATCGGACGCCTGCGACGCATCGATTGTATCGGCCGCCACCTGCATATCAGTTAGCAACACCTGTTTAGCAGCTTGTGTTTCTTGCATTTTTTCAACCTCTTCCGCGGCGCTAACTTGTACCTCTTCCTCAACGCGCTCTTCACGCAACACTGCCGGCCGATTCATTGTGGGAGCGGCAGGCATTTCGCAATCCGTCGCCTTCATATCTTCGTTGGCATTAACTTCGTGATAGTTGAGACTCGTGTCACAGCTGGAGTCGAAATCTGAGCAATAATTTAAGTCTTTGACGTTATTCAGCCGCAGGTCCCCATCGCGATTAATGTCCAGCAGAAAGCCTTTCTCGCCATATGGCCGACTTTTCTTCGCTACAGCACCACTGCCATTGCAGCTGCTCAGCGGCGTCCCAGCGCGCGCGCCGTTCTGCAACGTTTGCTTCACCGCCTCCAATACGCGATCGGTGCTTTTGTTCTCCGGCGTCAGACCGCGTTGTTGCGCGGCTTGCATGAGTCGCTGACGACGACGCGCACGCATGCTGTCACGTATGCGCTCACCAGTGGGCGAAAAATCTTTGCCCAAGTGCGGCGATTTCGGCATATCGCTGCGCAGTATGACAGTATTCTCNACCACTGTGTAGCGCTGTCTGCGCTGCCTGCTCTTGCTGCGCCCCAGAGTGCCGTTCGGACTCAGACATGCGCCACCAGACCAACGTTCACTGCCGCTATTCGCCGCTAACATGCTTCCACCAGCGCCTACAGTCGCGCCGCTGCCGCCACCCGCGCTGTAGAAGGGCGCTGTGATGATACGCGCCAGCCCAAAGTCCGCCACTATCACCGACTTATCTTCCCGCACAAGGCAATTTAAAGAATTCAAGTCGCGATGTATAATATTCATGCGGTGCAAATAGCTCATGCCGCAAGCAATGTCTTTTGCGAATGAGATGCGCTGTGGCCACGTTAGCGGCAACCCAGAGTCGTGTATGAGCTCCTTGAGTGAACCTCCAGCAATGTACTCGGTGACCAAATGCAGTTTCTTATCCTTGTAGAGCACGCCAATGAAGCGCAGCACATTCTTGTGATGCAACGAACGCAGCACCGCAACCTCTTTGAGAAAATTACGCTGCGCCTCTTCGTCGACGCGATAGAGCTCCTTGAGCACCATCACCTCCTTGGTAAGGCGATGCGTCACCTTGTACACTTGCCCGAAGAACCCCTTGCCGAGCAATTCGCCCAACACCAGATCAGATGCGCGGAAGATGCGCTGCGGCTTGGGCTCCACGCGAAACGACTTCGTGCGCGACAAGTCGTAAATTTGGGCTGAGGGCGCATGCTGCTCATCCAACAGCTTCGACATACTTGAGCAGCGCTCCTTATCGCGTAAACGCATGCCCAGCTGTGTGGAGTCTGCTGCTTTGATGGCACTACTGCCAATTGCAACAGCGCAGCACCCGTCTACACCGCTGCCGATTGGTCCAACGGAATGTGTGGAACCGGTATGCGTCAATAGCGCCTGTTCGGCAGCAATCATATTCAGATTCTTGCACTTGCGCAGCTGGCGTGTCTTTGTGCCGCTTATGTAGCCCTCATCCTTGCGCTTGTAGATACGTTCCTTGTCCTGCTTGGTGAGACGTGTGGGTGAGCTGCCACCGCTGCCGCAATCGCTGCTGTTGCTCTGTGGCGCGATAGTACTGGTGCTAGTGCTGCCGGTGAGCGAGTCTGTGACGCTGCGACGGCCGTATACTTCAATGCTTGACGCGGATGTGGCCAACGGCGGGAGGTCACTGTACGATGTAGGTCGATGGAGTATGTCAGCTTGACTACAGCTGCGGCACACTTGCACAGGATCGTGTTCGACGGTGAGCTGTAAAATTTTCTCGGTGCTTCGTATCAATTTGTCGATGTGTTCGATGGAGGAGTCGTTCACGGGCGTGCCGTTAACCTCGAGTATACGATCGCCAATGTGTAGGTTGGCCAAGTTGACGTCAATTCTGTGGCGAGTGGATGATAGAAAAGGAAAAAATTACTCTTTTTCTAGTAAGGTGTTCCAATTCCTATTGAATATCAAGCGTGATACATGGATTTGGGAAAGAGGATACATTTCTAAAATTGTCGTATAACTAGATATTTAATTGCGCCAGAATTGCAAGAGGTTTAAAACTAAAGTAGTAAAGGAAGTGAAATGAGTATAAATGTCTTAACCCTAAAAATAGCACTTTTTTGAAAATATACCAAAACACTTACTCAACAAAAATTTTTATAAAAAGTTAAACTGAAGTGATAAAGTAACCAAAACGAGGTCATAACTGATAATGTTAAATATTACAACTTTTAAAAAATTTCGCTAAAATTTTCCCTATCGGCAAATTTTTATAAAAACGTTTAAAAATCGATTTTCATTCTTTAATATCATTTTCAAGAGAAAACTGGTTCTTTTACGCTTAATTACCGTTCCAACGAAATCCATGTTACGCTGATATTACATTATTATATAGGTATTAAAATCTAAAGAAATTTTAAATTAGTAAAAAGCATTAAAATTTACCTATAATCGCTACCACAACACTGATCGATAACCGATGTTATAAAGGAGAAAACATATTTCCCAACACGACCATATATTCTACAAATGAATCTGCATTTGTTGGTGGTGGTGTAATTGGTGGTTGTTATATAAATAGATATTTACGTTTACAAATATTTGGTAGATATTTGTTATTGAATTGTTAATTTGCAATGGGTTGTTGATGTGCGACAAGCGTTATTTTGCGATAACAATAACAAATTCATACAAGCGAAAGTGAAGAGGCGGGTGTGTTTGGTGTACAAGAAGAGAGAAAAATGTAAAGTAATGAATTAGTAAATGTTGGTAAATATACACAGTTAATAATTTATATTAATTTGAGATATTTTATAATTGATTACAATGCGTATTGGAGTGTCAGCACATACATTATATACGATTTTTGGCATTACTTAGGTTAAAGGGACTGGCAGTAACTTGCTTCAATTCCTTAGTTAAAGCTAGACAGCATCACAAAATGAAATATTTGGGCGATGTTCACATTAAATTTAGGGGAATTATTGAATTTTTCAATAAAAGCAGTCATTAACCAATATTTTATACTCTACTTTAGAAAAATTTCACACATGGGAAATTTTCCAAAAACTGTAAAATATCCATTTCTTCATTTATTTGCTCCGTTTAGAACGATTGAACACTTTCTTTGGAAATTTCCCCAAAAAATCTTGGAAATTTGGAAAATTTTTCCAAATACCTTTATTCATGCATAAAAATTTCTACTTGTTCGTAAAATAAATTTAAAAAAGTTCATCTCCAAATTCTTAAACTTGAGCTCACTTCATCAGTGCGAAAACTGAGTCTGAGTTTAAGCTCACTTTTTATGCATGAGGCCCTATGAATTTATAACCATTAGCTATATTAATTGGCACACTCTCCAACAATACACACTGTTATCCAATAAACTAAATAAAGTCTAATTAACAAAAAACAAATCTTTTATTGTTATTCAAAACAAATTTCAAGTCTTTACTTATTTCTCGGCGGTTGACTTTAGCTGCTTACTACTCACTCTAGTTAAAAAAATCTACTAGTTATTTGTGCACAGATGACCACTATCACAACGCACTGACCAGTTAAGCGAACAATTGCTTGCTGTTCGCCAGTTAGGCGTCTTATCAACGCATACAAGCACGTTACCGCGACATTGTATGACTAATACAATATTTTTTTTTGCGATTGCGACATGAATATTAAAATAAAAGTCAACGTAAGTTGCTTATTGGCCAATCTAACCGAAACTGCCGCAAGTTGATAAGTCGTCTACACAACTGAATACTAGAAGCTTTAGTCTTACGCGCTTGATATTGCACCGAAGTGGTGCAAGCAGATACAAGCCCAGTTATGGTGTGCGGAGTGAGCGGAGATGAAACAGAAAAATAAATAAATAAACAAGCAAAGCGCTGATAAGCGTGGAGGTATGCGAATTATTTTCAATGTAAATAGTAAATAAATAAGCGAGACGTTTGTCACTTGGTTTAATTGGGTTGACAGTCGAACGTAAGTGATGGTGTATTGCATACACATATTTTTTACAGGTAATTCGCGAGTTAAACAGTAACTGAGGCGACATGAGAGACAGCAAAAATTTGTTTGTAATGCTTATGTATGGCTATTTCGAGTAAATGTGTTGCACCGCCTTGAACTGAACGCTTAAATCGATTGCAAACAGATCCAACAAGCTTTTTATTGTGAAAATTCACCATTTTAAATACGTTGAGTTAGCGATCGCGCTGGAAATAAGACCGCAAAAGGTTTTATTTTTGAAATGAGTAGCAACTTTTTAAACAATGTAAGTAGTAAGCAGCTTAGAGTTAGCATTTTAGCCCAAAACCTAGCAATACTCACTCAGAAATGCGCACGGCGGGGCAAACTTCGAGTGGGCCGTCTATTCGCTTGCCAAGTGTCGGCGAATTGACACGAAATCCACCACCGCTCCCGCTACCACTGCCCCCGCCGCCGCCTACACTGTCAATGTAGTGTCGTTGCACGCTCACATTATCCACCGACAACCGCAGACCCGGTGTCGCATCCTTGGGTATCTCTACTAGACGTATGGAATGTATGGGTTTAGCGTTGCCGCCAGGTGCATTTATGCCACTACCGCTGCTGCCTGCGCCCCCTCTACCAACACCAGCGCTTAATGCCTCCAAATCAGCCGCTACCGCATGTGTCTCTTGCTGCTTATAACAATTGCCACAGTATAGTTTTGAGCGCTCGACCAATGCGTATGCTTCACCTTCGCCAATGAACACAGCACAGGCGCTACAGCAAAAACATTCGGGATGAAATTTATGATCGCCAGCTACCATGACAGGACCAGTTATGATAGCACTGCATTGTTGGCAACATTCACCAAAGCGTTGGTAGTAATCTTCCCGGCAGAAGAGCAGTCCATCCTTTTCGAAATACCAATTGTGCAGGTGTGCATCGCAAACGGAGCAGCGAAAGCAATCGCTATGCCATTCTTGACCCAATGCAATGACGAATTCTTCGCGACTTAGGTGCAAAGTGTTCAAGCAACCGGCACATGATGTGCTATAGCGGGAAGCACGCGTTCCCTCTGTAGTCGGATCTTTCTGCTGTTGTACATTTAATCGATGGATGGTACTGGCATTGGTGGTGTTGGTTGAAGTTGTGGGCGGTGAACCGGTTGCCCTAGGAATGCTTGCGGTATCTGAAAATGTGACAAAAGCGAAAAGTGAAGCATGTGCTATAAAATCATTAATGGGACACCTGCCAAAAACAACTAACTGCGCGCTCTCTTTTAGTACATGTGCATGAAAGTAAGCAGCAGTTTATTTTTATTGCACACGCTAGAAATAACCCTGACCCTGAATC